GTGTGTGTGTGTGTGTGTGTGTGTGTGTGTGTGTGTCAGTCACAGCAGGTTTCATCTGCTTTTGTTTCCTCACATCAGGTTCATGTTTGCTTTCCTTCTCACGGTTGTTTTTTTTAAACCTGATTCTCATGATGGAGCCTCAATCTTTCTCTTTTCCCCCTCTGGGCCATTGGTGTTGACTTACTGTCATAATGAGGAGGTTAAAGGTGGGAGAGGAGGGAACAACTGATGATATATAACATTTAATTATGATTTAAGTGTTTCTTTTTCCAAAATAAAGGGAATTGCAACAATTGACATGTTTTAATGTGAATGATACCAAAGTGCAGAGGAAAACACTTACTAATCATTAATTCAACATCAGCTGCAACTCTCACTACTTTTAAATCCAGGCTGAAGACTTTTCTTTTTGCCGCTGCTTTTAATTGAACTATCCATATCTTAAACCGCACTGTAACTTTTATTTGTGTATTTTATTATTTTATTATCTCTGCCTTTTAATGCCATTTTCTTAATGTCTTTCATTTATGTAAAGCACTTTGAATTGCCTTGTGTTGAAAGGTGCTATTAAAAAAACTTGCCTTGCTATTAAATCAACATGTTTTGTGTGTGTGTGTGTGTGTGTATTTCAGATTGTGTACTTCACGGCGACCTTCCCCTACGTCGTCCTCATCATCCTGCTGGTGCGAGGCGTCACACTTCCTGGAGCGTACGACGGCATCATGTTCTACATCAAACCTGATTGGTCCAAACTGTGGGAAGCTCAGGTCAGTGCGGGTTTACTGCTTCCCTGAATTCTGACTCTCAGGGAAAAGCTGGTGCCAGAACCAGAACCGTCTTTAATTGTGTCTATAATGAGAAGATGAAGTTTCATTATTGTAAATAATAGCAGGAAAGAAGTAAATGGAGGAGGAAATTAACCTTACAAATTGATAAATAGATTTATGAAATATAGGGTTAATAAATAAACAAAACTCTGTCCTGCCCTTGTTCCTATCTGTGTCTTGGTCTCAGTGTTACTCCAGAAGTCTTGAACATATAAAAAGTTAACAGTAAAAAGCCCCGATGTTGAGCTGAGCAGTGAATGCCTCACTCTCCTGTGACCTCTGACATCTGACCTCTCTCCAGGTTTGGATCGACGCCGGCACTCAGATCTTCTTCTCGTACGCCATCGGCCTCGGAGCGCTGACGGCTCTGGGGAGCTACAACCGCTTCAACAATGACTGCTACAAGTACGAGTTTACGTTTTTACCTCCTTTATCAACCGTTTACTGTGGCTGCGAGGGAGTGCGGTCGTCTCTCAACCAGAAGGTTGTGGGTTCGATTCCCAGCAGCCAACATGTCGATGTATCCTTGGGCGAGATACTCAACCCTGAGATTGAATGTGTGTGAATGTGTGTGAATGTTAGTTCCTAGGTTAAGGTACTCTGCTCTGTATGAATGGGTGAATGACTAGGGCTGTACCCAAATATCCGAATATTTGTTCGTTGGAAGCGGTTCGCTGCTGATTACTACGCAACCCCCCCCCCCCCCTCGCGTGGGCCGAATATTCGAATATTCACACCTTTATAATTATTAGGATAAATAAAAACAGGTTTGAAATCATTCCAATGTATAGCCTACTCTAGGACAGTAACCAAACATATCGTTTAAAACTGGAGATATTATATATTGGGTTACTGGGTTATTGGTTATGTTCAGATACTTATTTGATTATTAAAATGTAAACCGATCTTTTTCAGATGGGTGTTTTAGAGTTGTACCCCCTAGACCTAGTCTCTAGTAATTGTGTGCTCAAAGTGCACCAGATTGAAGCATTTTACTTTAAAATGTTAAAACAAATCTTTCCGGGGGGGAGGGGGCATACCCCCCAGAGGATGTGACATCCACCCCCCAGTTAAAACATGTTCATACAATAATGAATACATTTGAAACCTTCTTTATGTATATAACCAACATGTCAATACGTTTCAGTTGTTGTAGTGTATTGGTCTTTTGTAGAGATTTTTAATGTATTCTTTATATATTCTATTGTTTATTGCTTGGAGGGGGGGGGGGCACCAAATCATAATCTCGCCTAGGGCAACAAAATGTCTAGGGCCGGCCCTGGTAAGACCCTCATCATGTGTGAAGCTTTCTCCTGTGGGACTCTATAAACAAACAGCTTTCCATGAGTAAATCATCCTGCTTTCAGCTTTGTGACGATGCATTTTCCAGCTGATCAACGAGGCGTTTTAAAGACTTTATTTATCTGAAGAACAAGGAGAGCTTTCTGAACAAGAAAAGGAACACTTCATCCTTCAGTTGATCAAAAAACTCTCAGATTATTGTAGTGGTGCAAACAGTAGAATATCTACCATTGAGATACTTTGGAGTAGAAGTTGCATCAATGGAAATATTCCAGTAAAGTAGAAGTATCTCAAACTTTAACAAGTATCTGAAACTTTAACTTGATCTCAAACGTTACAGCGTTTGAGTTACAGTGATGTATAATTACATCCCATCACTGAAGATGTCACAATATAATAAATGTTCTGACTGTGTTTTTTAAACTAAGGCTTGAAATGAAAACACCCTAAGTGAAATAAATCAATAATACTAATATATACCTCATCGATACTACACAGTTGCATTATGCATAACTGGGAACATCAACATTAAAACATTTTTGTAACACCTATCCACTGATTTGATTAATTTTGTACTTCTTCTTACAATTATTTTGTTATTTTTCAGTGCGAATAACGTGTATAATATCTATGTTTATATGTTATGAGTGATTTATTGCCATTCACTTTTCCTTTTTGAGGTGAATTCTAGCTCGACTTCACAATATTGCAAAGCACTTGTTGATGCCTTTTTTTGTATGTAATGTGATTTATTGTCCATAATCATATCTTACCCCCCCCCCCCCCCCCCCGTCTCGCCTGTCCTGCAGAGATGCGTTTGTTCTGGCGATGATAAACAGCGGGACGAGTTTCTTCGCCGGCTTCGTGGTGTTTTCTATTCTGGGCTTCATGGCTAACGAGCAGGGAGTTCACATCTCACAGGTCGCTGAATCAGGTAAAACATGAAGTACAAACACCAGCTGTTCCTCTCAAACACACACACACACACACACTATTTATCTCTTTCTCATGAGGAAAGAAAGATATCGTGGCTTTTCAGCAGCTCCAGTTAGTTTCCTGAATACCTTTAAACCTCAGAGGCTGCTGAACAAAAGCTCTTTATCTCAGTCGGAGGTTAACGCTCCCACACAGGAGGATCACACTGGAAATATTCAGGCCATTTGGCTGCAATTTGTTATTTTTTATTATATTTCCACACACATAAGACAATAAAACACGCATAAAAGAAATCTGAGAAGCCACAGGGTTATACAAGGAGCTCCCCTAGGAGAAAAGTGTTTTAAAAGTATATAAAACATGGTGTTTCTTAAAAAGACCAACAGAAACTGACATTGAAATGGTTAAAATCCCAAAAATAAACAACTATTTGGTCAGTTTTTACACCAGTTATTTGCTGATTGAAGTTGAAACCTTTTCCGCAACAAAACTATGAGGAGAGCTGCTTCCTGAAAGTCCTGAAAATGTGTTTTTTTTATCATGATTTCGGGAAATAATGTCCTGCACAATGAGTCCTCTCAATGTGAGGCGTTTGAGTACAATAGGAACATTTCACAAGTAGAACAGAGAGTTGTGTGTGTGTGTGTGTGTGTGTGTGTGTGTGTGTGTGTGTGTGTGTGTGTGTGTGTGTGTGTGTGTGTGTGTGTGTGTGTGTGTGTGTGTGTGTGGTGTGTGTGTGTGTGTGTGTGTGTGTGTGTGTGTGTGTGTGTGTGTGTGTGTGTGTGTGTGTGTGTGTGTGTGTGTGTGTGTGTGTGTGTGTGTGTGTGTGTGTGTGTGTGTGTGTGTGTGTGTGTGTGTGTGTGTGTGTGTGTGTGTGTGTGTGTGTGTGTGTGTGTGTGTGTGTGTGTGTGTGTGTGTGTGTGTGTGTGTGTGTGTGTATGTATATATTTGTGAGCACCAGCTTTGGTTGGAGACCATATCATACAGGACATTTAGTCTTCTTCTTATTCATTAGTTTGTTCGAGTGTTCAAACTACAATTCCTTACACCCTTACACACTCCTTTAACACCCTTACATGCACCACATCTGGAAATCGTATAAATTGCATGTAATACTGGTCTTAAATGTCATCCCCAATAGCATTTAGTCTTAAAAGTCTTCCATGTAACTTGCCTCAATCTGTAGAAACCTGGAACTCATGAGTTTTGAGATAAGGTGTTAGCAGATGACCCAGTGTGTGTCTGGTGTGTGTGTGTGTGTGTGTGTGTATCAACTGTATATGTGTATTAATAGCGTTGCAGCACATGACGACGTGACATCACAAACTCCCGGTTATATTTAGTGACTCCACAGAAGGCCTCGCGCTGCAGAGCTCAAGGATTCACCTTCCTCTCATAAATTCATTTATTCTCTCGTCCTTTGTTCATTCATCCTTTACCCTCCATCCGAGAGCTGCTACTTCAGAGCGAGTCTGACTTTGAATAAAACGTCTCGTGCGTCAGACTGCTGAGTGCAGGGAAGCAGTGTTAAATAAAATGGCCTTGTGCACCTCTGATTTATGGCGTTAATGACAGGGATTAAGTGTGTGTGTGTGTGTGTGTGTGTGTGTGTGTGTGTGTGTGTGTGTGTGTGTGTGTGTGTGTGTGTGTGTGTGTGTGTGTGTGTGTGTGTGTGTGTGTGTGTGTGTGTGTGTGTGTGTGTGTGTGTGTGTGTGTGTGTGTGTGTGTGTGTGTGTGTGTGTGTGTGTGTGTGTGTGTGTGTGTGTGTGTGTGTGTGTGTGTGTGTTTAAATGGCAGCAGTTGCTTCAGTGTGATGACATGCATCTTTTTATTTTAACCTCTTTGCAAAAGGAACAAAAGTAAATCCAATGTACTCTACTGATACGTTTACATTGGTTTAAAGTATTAGTGTGTGTGTGTGTGAGAGAGTGTGTCTGTGTGTGTTTGTGAGGCCCTTGCCTTATTGCATGGGAATAAGCAGTGGATGTAGTGCTGTTGTAAATGTGTGTAATGCTCCTTTAATATCAGGACTCAGCAGGACAGCTTAAATGTTAAATTAAATTCACTGTATATTTTACACATGGAGTTGCTGATTGGATAACACACCTGTCAATCAAGACAAACATGTTACATGCAAAGGTTTAAAGGGTCAGTCCGCTAAAGCTCAGATATATTTACACACACACACACATATTTAATTAATGTATAAAAAAACTGAATAGAATAAAAGAGAATCATGTGAAGAATCATCTGCTTAAAGAAAAATAACAAACCAATCACAGATCAGTCTCCACTCCAGTGTTGACTTCCTGTGTGTGTGTGTTTCAGGTCCAGGTCTGGCCTTCATTGCATACCCGAAGGCGGTGACTCTGATGCCGGTGGCTCCTCTGTGGGCCGCGCTCTTCTTCTTCATGCTGCTGCTGCTGGGACTCGACAGTCAGGTCAGGAAACAGTCGAACTTCACTTCTTGTACGACATACGCTAAAATCAACTGACACAAAGAACAAACAACAAGCATTTAACATCCCCATGTCTCTTCTACATCAACATGTGTCCCCTCTTCTTCATGTCTCTCCTACATCAACATGTGTCCCTCTTCTTCATGTCTCTTCTACATCAACATGTGTCCCCTCTTCTTCATGTCTCTTCTACATCAACATGTGTCCCCTCTTCTTCATGTCTCTTCTACATCAACATGTGTCCCCTCTTCTCCATGTCTCTTCTACATCAACATGTGTCCCCTCTTCTTCATGTCTCTTCTTCATCAACATGTGTCCCCTCTTCTTCATGTCTCTTCTACATCAACATGTGTCCCCTCTTCTTCATGTCTCTTCTACATCAACATGTGTCCCCTCTTCTCCATGTCTCTTCTACATCAACATGTGTCCCCTCTTCTTCATGTCTCTTCTACATCAACATGTGTCCCCTCTTCTTCATGTCTCTTCTTCATCACCATGTGTCCCCTCTTCTTCATGTCTCTTCTACATCACCATGTGTCCCCTCTTCTTCATGTCTCTTCTACATCAACATGTGTCCCCTCTTCTTCATGTCTCTTCTACATCAACATGTGTCCCCTCTTCTCTATGTCTCTTCTACATCACCATGTGTCCCCTCTTCTTCATGTCTCTTCTACATCAACATGTGTCCCCTCTTCTTCATGTCTCTTCTACATCAACATGTGTCCCCTCTTCTTCATGTCTCTTCTACATCACCATGTGTCCCCTCTTCTTCATGTCTCTTCTACATCAACATGTGTCCCCTCTTCTTCATGTCTCTTCTACATCACCATGTGTCCCCTCTTCTTCATGTCTCTTCTACATCAACATGTGTCCCCTCTTCTTCATGTCTCTTCTACATCAACATGTGTCCCCTCTTCTTCATGTCTCTTCTACATCAACATGTGTCCCCTCTTCTTCATGTCTCTTCTACATCAACATGTGTCCCCTCTTCTTCATGTCTCTTCTACATCAACATGTGTCTCCTCTTCTTCACGTCTCTTCTACATCAACATGTGTCCCCTCTTCTTCATGTCTCTTCTACATCACCATGTGTCCCCTCTTCTTCATGTCTCTTCTACATCAACATGTGTCCCCTCTTCTTCATGTCTCTTCTACATCAACATGTGTCCCCTCTTCTTCGTGTCTCTTCTACATCACCATGTGTCCCCTCTTCTTCATGTCTCTTCTACATCAACATGTGTCCCCTCTTCTTCATGTCTCTTCTACATCAACATGTGTCCCCTCTTCTTCATGTCTCTTCTACATCAACATGTGTCCCCTCTTCTTCATGTCTCTTCTACATCAACATGTGTCCCCTCTTCTTCATGTCTCTTCTACATCAGCATGTGTCCCCTCTTCTTCATGTCTCTTCTACATCAACATATGTCCCCTCTTCTTCATGTCTCTTCTACATCAACATGTGTCCCCTCTTCTTCATGTCTCTTCTACATCAACATGTGTCCCCTCTTCTTCATGTCTCTTCTACATCAACATGTGTCCCCTCTTCTTCATGTCTCTTCTACATCAACATGTGTCCCCTCTTCTTCATGTCTCTTCTACATCAACATGTGTCCCCTCTTCTTCATGTCTCTTCTTCATCAACATGTGTCCCCTCTTCTTCATGTCTCTTCTACATCAACATGTGTCCCCTCTTCTTCATGTCTCTTCTACATCAACATGTGTCCCCTCTGTTGAAAGAGACTCTGAAAGTTTCAGGAACAAAGATTCTCTCTCTTTTTGATCCATTTCTATAAAAACCTGTCTGAAAATGAGCTGATCAGATTTTGGCTACTTTATGATGTCATAACGATGTGTTGTCTTGTGTAACCATTAGCCAATCAGCAACCAAGGTAACCCCCCCCTCCTTATCACCTGAATCTCCTCCTAGAGCACCATTGAGTTCTTTGTAACCAAATGTCTCTCAGAGGGGCGTGGGGAGGGGCTCCTTATTTTCATCTAAAGTAACAGACAGAGAATCAGCACTTTGGAAACAGGGCTGAAACAGAGGGGATTATGGGTAATGCTGCAATGATCTGTTTGGTGTTTCAGCCAATCAGAGACAGGCTCTGGATATATCTGAGACCTGTGATATATTGAGGAAGAACAGTATGATAGGCGACCTTTAAGATAAGAAGTACTTTTTTGATCCCAATTTGCGAAATAAAGCAAGTTATTATACATAAGTATGTGAGGGAAAGGATAGTAAACATTAAACTGAATATATAAATGTAAGTGTCATGTAGGTTCTCTCATCTCTCTGCATGTGTTGTATTTACCTGTGTCTCTGTTTGTCTCCAGTTCGTGGGCGTGGAGGGTTTCGTGACGGGAATCCTGGATCTGTTTCCTGGGAAAAGCCAATTCCGCTACAAAAGGGAAATCTCTGTGGCCGTGTGTTGCCTGCTGTGCTTCATCATCGACCTCTCCATGGTGACACAGGTACAGAACAACCCTCTGGTTCTACGGATATTCAAAAAAAACTATTAGAGAAACTGTCTTTTTCGTTTAGAAGGAGTAGCAAGAAAAGTAAATGCAGAGATTTGAAGTTATGACAAACTAACTAGTAACTTACTGAAAAGAAAGGTGGTTAATTGGTTACATTTGGTGTCAAATCAACACTTTTGCAGTTAATTCAAACACATCAGAATCAACATACTTTGTTTCTCCTGGGGGAACTTGGGTTTTGCTTCATATTGGAATGAAATAAATAAAAGATAAATCATGTATATATAATTATATAAACATAAGAAGTTCAATTGAGAATGAGAAAAAAATGATAAAACACAATACAAATATGTATATAAACATGAGAAGTACAATGTTAAATGTGCACATTGAATTGCAACTACAACATTCAAGGTCACCTTTCATGCTATTTGTAGGCAACAGCATAGGTCTCAGATATATACAAATATATAAAAAACATGTCTATTACCTCACACACCAACGCAACTCCGGTTCAAGCTCCGTGCTAGAGCTTTTCAGGTTCAGAACCGGTTCTTCGGTTTAGCTCCGGCTCTTTCCACACTGCCCAGAGTCCGACTGGTGCTGCGTCATTGCGTCATCGTTTGCGTCATGACGTAACCGTTTGCGTGCCTGCTTCATAAAGCCAAACCGCGCGGAAACCCCTCACAGCTGACACCGACAACAACAACAATGGCCGATTGTGCTCCAGCTTCCTCTGTACCTCTTCGGAAGACCAGATTCCCAGTAGGTAGCTGATCTCTTCAGCGGACCACTGCTGCTTATTAAGTTTCTCCATCGTTGTGCACAAACTGGATAAAACGCGGGCTTCTTGTTGTTGTTCAGGAGTTGATCCCGCCCCTGCCCCCGCCTCGCCGTAAGCGTGACGTATGCGGTGCTTTTGCTCTGGCCGGACAATTCTTTGGTGCTTGAAATGAACCGGATTCCGGAGCTAAGAGGCTGCTCCGCTGCGGTGTGAAGAGGAAAACCCGGTGCTTTTCAAGCTCCAGCTCCGAACCGGCCCTGAAACACCGTTGGTGTGAATGAGGTATATGAAGTGTTTTGCTCAAAATACCAAACAGATCACCCATTCTAGCCATGCCTCATATCCCTCTATTTCACTTCCTGTTTCTAAAGTGATTATTCTGGTATAAAGCTTTAAAAAAAGGGGGGGGTCTGAGCTCATGCGGGACCCGGCAGCTACTGTCTAAACTAAACACTGCCGTGATGAAACGCCATATCATGGATTATCATGGATTCTCTCTGAAACAGTTTGGAGCTCAAAGGCTTTCTCTCTTGCCGGTTATACCACAAGGTGAGTTCCTTTTTACTTCCTGCTTCTTCACACACACATGCTCTCCAGTACAGGTTAGCTCTGAGTGTTAGCCATGCTAATGTAAACACCGACCATATTACGTCCAAAACAGTCGGGCATTGTTTCTGATAGCAACGTTTCTGATTGGGCCGTGGGTCCACATTTCAGATATTACGTCATATCGGACGCACATCTGGATCAGCTCCGTTGTTCCCCGTTTTTAGAGATTTGGGTACGGAGGAAAAGAGAGAGGGTTTTATTTTTTTACATGTTGATGTATAAGAGACATCAAAACGTGCATTTTGCATGATAGGTCCCCTTTAATGTTCAAATATAAGCAATGTATATTAATGTGCAGTTTAATATGCTGTGCAACAACACACATCAGATATGCAATACGTTAGATTTGATAGTCTTTTCTCTATAGTGTTTTATACTCTATGTTATTATTCAGAAAAGTGAATAAAGTAGTGTGGGTAATACATCATTGTAGTAAGGCAAGGCAAGTTTATTTATATAGCACTTTTCAACACAAGGCAATTCAAAGTGCTTTAAGAAAATGGCATTTAAAATCAGTCATTAAAAAGAAAAGCTAATAAAATAAACATTAAAAGAAAAAATACATGGATAAAAGTTACAGTGCTGTTTAAGATGTGAATAGTTCAATTAAAAGCAGCGACAAAAAGAAAAGTATTTGATTCCAAAATGTAATGGAGTCGAAGTATCCAGACTCAAACTCACAATGTCCATTTATATTTAATTTAATATTCCACACACTCAATGTATTTAATATCCTACTTTATATTGTATTTACTTCAATAGTGTTTTATTTGGCTGACAGTTTATAGGCTTTTTATCTTCACGGTCAACTTGCTGTTTGATTTCTATTTTGAGATGTTTTTTTAGAATAGTTTATTTCTCCTGCTTTAATGTCTACGTGCAAAGCCTTGAAAAAATGTCCCAAATGTGGATCAATAAAGTACATCTTCTCTTAAATAGAAATACTACCTCATTGTAAACACTTGAGTAAATGTACTTTGTTGCATCCACCGGGACTACTTTTATACTTCCTCTTGTCTATTGCAGTCTCTGTGCTTTGTAAACTCCCATGTTGTGACACTAACAGGGTTCTTACGGTCATTACAAACCTGGGGAAGTCATGGAAATTCAAAATGCTAATTCCAGGCCCTGGAAAAATTATGGAAAAGAAATATTTTTCCCAAAGTTTTGAAAAAGTCATGGAAATGTAACTAAAGTTGCATCAAATATAATTTATATTTGATCTAATCGCCGAAATAGTAATACTATAATGATAATAAATACTGTATCGTATAGTAATGAAATTAAAATGGCTTTTAACTGTCGAGGTGTTTTGCTGGTGAGAGATTTTAGTTGCTTTAACGTGAAGCTAGTAAGCCTGTTTGATTTGTTTCCTGTTCCATGTTAAAATAAACCATTTTCAGTGGTACGCTGAGAAAGAGTCATGTTTTTGTTCATGGAGAATTAGGTAAAGGTCCTGGAGAAGTCATGGAGAAAGTGTGTGAAAGTGTGTGAACCCTGCACTGATCTTATTTACATGTGTTTGTATTTGTACATCTCTCTCTCTTGATGTCTGCAGGCGGGGATGTACGTCTTCCAATTATTTGACTATTATTCAGCCAGTGGGATGAGTCTGTTGTGGCAAGCATTCTGGGAATGCATAGTAGTTGCCTGGGTCTACGGTATGTGACACACACACACACACACACACACACACACACACACACACACACACACACACACACACACACACACACACACACACACACACACACACACACACACACACACACACACACACACACACACACAGTGTAGTGTTTCACAGTGAAGTATGGTGCGCCATGGTAACGGATCTGATCTCTAAAATAGGTGTGTGAATAGTTGTGTAATATGGTGTTACAGTAAAGAAGGTCACTTTGTTAAAGTATAGTTTTTCAAAGTTCAAACCGCTGTGGTGTGACGCAGTGTGTCATGAGACGGTCACGTGTTAACATATCTGAGTACATAAAGTTATAAAAAACAATACATCAAAGTACAGTTTGTCGAAAATCTCAGAAAAAAACACTAAAGTATCTCAAAGTAATATTATAGCACTATAGTTTGTCAGGACACAAAGTTGTAGTATAATTTGTCAAAGTTTTTTTATGAGCAGTAAAGATTTAAGAGTCTCATAGTATTGTATGTGGAAAAAAAACAAATAGTATAGTATATCGAAAAGATACTGTAAAATATCAGAGAAAACGACAGAGTGAAGTACATCACAAATATATGTATAATGTTCCTGCAGTATTATCAGATCCCCTGATGGTTGCTCCGTCTCTCCTGCAGGTGCCGACCGCTTCATGGACGATGTGGCCCTTATGATTGGCTACCGGCCGTTCCCCTGGATCAAGTGGTGCTGGTCCTTCATCACGCCCGCCGTCTGCATGGTGAGACTCGACAACACGGGCCCCGTAGACATAAACAAAAACAAATAACTGTTTTGTTTAACGCTCTCCAACGCAGTATTTTCATTATTCATAATCGGAGTAGAGCTGCTGCTCCTTAATGTTGAGAGGAGCCGGTTGAGGCTTCTGATCAGGACCCTCCGCTGTGCCTTCCTTTAGAGACCCCGGGGTCCACCCAGAACACGCCGGAGAGATTATAAATCTCATCTGGCCTGGGAATGCCTCGGGAAGAGCTGGGAAATGTTGCTGGGGTGAGAGACGTCTGGTCTACCTTGTTTACCTTGCTGCCACTGGCACCGCGATACGAGGCAGAAATGGATAGACTTTGTTAAAAGTAAATTCAGAAATGCATAGTCTAGGGTTTGTCTGGGGCAAATGTGTCTCCAGCTGTTTCTCCTGCCATGACAGCTGGTTTTATGCTGGATGTCCTCTCCTCTCCTCTGCAGGGAATCTTCATTTTCCACCTGGTGAACTACAAGCCTCTGACCTACAACAACACGTACGTGTACCCGTGGTGGGGCGAGGTGATCGGCTGGTGCCTGGCGCTCTCCTCCATGCTCTGCATCCCCGTCAGCATCCTCTACAAGCTGGTCAGCGCCAAGGGCACCTTCAAGGAGGTCAGCACACACACACACACACACGCATACGCACACACACACACACGCACACACACACACACACACACACACACACTGGAAAAACAACTTTAAAAACATTGAAAATCTGTGAAACATTTCTCACTGATTATTGTTACTAATAATATGCCCCAGTTGTTTTAAAACGTTTTATTTGATTACCTTAAGTGCTGTACTTCAGTAAAACAACATTGGTAATAGTTACTTTGCAGATTGAGATACTAAATATTCAAAACAACATATTTGTAAATGACTCTTCTTGACTGTATATGGGATATTTAAGACGACCCTTCTTTATCGGCTGCATTGATGAATATATTCACAAATGAGTCGTTACTTGTGCACTTATGTACATTTACATATACAAGTAAGGAGCAAAGAAGACTAGCAGAAGGTCACACAGGTTCTGTAGAAGATTCTACAAAACCCACTACTAATGCAACAGCCACGTGAAGGAAAGAAAACACAGGGTTTGATAGTTGTCGAAAAGGTCAGAGCCGGTCTAAAACTACTTTGAGGTCAAACATCAAGTGATCTTCGACCTTCTTCCACCTTTGGAGTTACTCGTTCATAAATCAGAAACGTACCTAACCTTTGCGTAGTGTGTAACCTTTGCCCCCTGCTGTGTTTCAGCGCTGGGCCCACCTCACCACCCCGGTGTGGGGGCACCACCACCTGGAGTACATGGCCCTGCCCTCCAATGCCCCCGGCACCGAGGAGAACAAGGTCATCATCTTCGAGAGCGTCATGTAGGCGGGACTCTACATCTCCACCCCTCCCACCTACCACAAGACGACCTCCACCTCCATTGATTGGTCGTCTCCTCGGATCAACCAATCGATGGCCGTCCTTCAAACCTTCGATCGTCACCGGGCAGACCAAAGCTGGAAAAAAGATTTTCCAACCCTGTAAAAAAAGAACAAAGCGGCTCCTCCAGGCGGATTATTACTATTTTTTTTTAACAATCACGGCATCAACTTCCTGTTTTTCCCCTTCAGAATAAAACTAAAATGTGAGATTAAAACCAGCAGATAAATGTGTTCTGTACCTGCAAAAAGGGCTCCATCTTGGAAACGTGTAAATATAATATTACAAGGATGCCATGCAACGTTTTTTTTTATCTGGAGGAGCTGAAGAAGAAAGAGTTTCACTGTGTTCACAAACAGCTGCTGGGCTTCCTCCATGTTGGAGTGTCTTGTCTCTGGGTGGGCGGGGTGGACACACACACACACACACACACACACACACACACACACACACACACACACACACACACACACACACGCTGCCTCAACAGGGACTGGTGCTCGAGACTTGAGGTAAACGTTTTGAAAGTGTGTGTGTGTGTGTGATGGCTTTCTGCAGACGGAGTTGTGGACCGACTGAGACCTGGAGAATTAACAGAGGGCGTTTGCGCCGTAACGGGATTTAAAAAACGCTTAGATTCGTAGTCCTGTTGTGAAGCGAGAAACACTAAAGGAATGATGGTAGCCATATTGCAATTAGACAAGCAAACGTTTCTGAGTGTCTTTGACTACGTTTTTCAAAGTGTGTCAGCTGGACTTAAAGCGTCAAAGAAAGCCACTTCCTGTTACGGAGCAAATTCCTCATCGCTCGTGATGTCTCTGAGTTTGTGAGCACTTTCTGAGACGCTCTGATTGTTATTGATCTAGAAACCGGATCCGGACTGAACTCGTTTGTTTTCTTAACGTTTCATCGCAGCTTGCTTCCGCATGAAATACTGTGAATGAACAGCGTGATGTGTTCTGACGGCCCAGCTCTGTTTTAAATCACACCGTGGTGATATTAGATCTGATATTAGGAGGAAAAGCTCCAGTGAGAATTCAGTCAATGATCATCTTATGCGTTTCATATTATCCAAATGTAGTTTTATTTCAAGATGGCTTATCTACCGTCTAGTTGACTCGGTGAGGATGATGGAGGAGAAGCTTAAACCATGACAAAAAAGCTCAATTTACCCGTTTGTTCAGGAGATTCCGACCACAACGCTTGGGCTTCCTCTGTAAAGACCAGCTTCAAGTTAAACAAATGAAATAGTTAGTTTCACGATCTTAACTTGCTTGACCCAGAGAGAAAATGAACCAGCATTTACGTTATTATTCACTTTCATTTGGCTGATGCTTTCATCCAAAGACAATTGATTAATTGGCAAAAAATGTATCAATCAATCAATGTTTATTTATATAGCCCAATATCACAAATGTTACATTTGTCTCAGTGGACTTTACAGTTTGTACAAAATATCAGTATGACAATATCATATAGTACAGTATCAAGAAGAATCTGAATTCTTTGGACTGTTCAGACAACAAAAAGTAATAAAAGAAGGAAATTGTGACACAAATTGTATGGTTTGATTAATAGTGATTGGCATATTAATGTTAAATAAAGATAATTATGACTTGAAGCACTTCCTGGATGAAGTATGCACTGCTCCAGGTTCAGTTGAAGTACTAAAACAGCTCCTGCTTTAACACAAAATCAGGTTAATCCTGTAAATCATACTTTGTTATTCTTAATTAGCAGATGAAATACCTGATATGTTTCGTGTCTCCTCATCCCGAGTCCACCATTAGTCCCGGTCTGTGAACTCAAGCAGAAGTTAGGGACAGAATAATATTTTAATCAGAGACTGAAACCACACTGGATCTGACCTTTAACCTTTAGGGTCTTCGTTCTCGCCCCCCCACCGGGTCGACTGAAGTGCCAAACGGAGCGATTCTGATCCCAGATCAGCGCTCCAGGCTGCCAATATCATTCAGTATCAACACTATTCTTCTTCGTCTTCTTCTTCTCTGCCTCGTCGCATCATTAAAGCTGAAGTCCTCCGACCAATCAACACGCTCTCCTCTTTAACAGCTGATAGGAAACACAGGCAAACCCCGAAATCTGGTTTCCTGGGTTGGAATAAAGTCTGATAACAGGACCGGATTTCATCTTTCAATGTCTGAAAGAGTCTAGAACTGGTTCTGCTCCTCTGTGATCGTATTGGACTCAATTCAGCATATTAAAAAATACAGCAATATAGATCACAAAGCTGCAAAAGTAATCGTTCAGCTTTGGCAAAATGATCTGTTCAGAAGTTACCACAAAACATAACAATTAAGCAGATATTTGAATCTTTTAAAAAATGTATATGTAACAGGATCCTTATCATACATATTCGCTAGGTCTTAATCTCTATTTAAATATTACAATTAGAAGTAGTATTAGTTTAAAAGACCAGTATGGGTCCGGCTTTACTGCTACATTCCCAGCAACACATTTATTTGGTTGTTGTTTGTATTTAATTAGACGGTAATTTAACCCTTTTATTCTAATTAAATCTATAAGAGTACATTGATCACGTTCTAATCCCACACTTAGATACATATGTTTGAGATATGCAATGTCTAATTTCACTCTTACTAATTCCTTTGCTTAATTTAAACTACGTCTATGTCAAATTATTCCAAGAAATACATTAAAAAAATATATATTCTTTAGCAATCAGAGAAATTAGGGATTTTAAATCTATTTGCTCTAATAACTTAAATCAGTGTTTTAATATTGACCTGTGATCAGCTGGTGGAGAGATGAGAGCCTGAGGACTCAACTTGATGCCAAGTGTTGCCTTACGTCAGTGGCGGACTGGCCATCGAGACGTTCAGGACGAATCCCGATTGGCCGGTGCTGAAGTGGGCCGGCCGGACGATGTGGGCCGGTCGGATAAGTCACTAGCACCCCCCCTTGATAATTTACTAGCGGTACCGAGGTGGGCCGGCGGTACTGAAGTGGGCCGGTCGAGAGTCCCGGGCTACTACCCAGTCCGCCCCTGCCTTACGTCGTTGTCTTAACTCCAGAGCCAATCACAGTACAGCTCTGCTTTGAATCCAACCAATCAGCAGTCTGCGTGCGGGGGGGCGTGTCTACAACTCTGTCTCCCAGCAACCACTCTGCATCCACCTATCACATAACCATTAGAATGTAAAATATATATTATAAAAAGTATACATTTGCACATTGTTGTAAAATAATGTCGCTAGCACTTTGGAGAAGAGTCACGTTAGAAATCATGTTTTGTTTTACATATTGTAAAATGAATCAGAGATGGAGGCTTTTATTTTGCTGATACATACAGTATGACAGATATATATATTGAATATCTTTGTGCGTTATCTATATTTGATGCAGTATGTGATTTTGATGATGACTGATTGTTGACGCTTTAGCCGGCGAAACACCAGCGACGAAGCGACGCCGGCTACCTCACTTCCCATTTTAGACTTTCAAAATAAAACTCCTTTTCAGCTTTTTATGCAAATGTCTTGTCAGCGGCGGCGTCGGCTGGCGGCAGGAGAGGATTCTGGGAAGTGTAGTTCAAAACATTTCCCTCCTCGGCCTGTTTCACGTTGCTGCTTTTAAAGGTTCTCCAGCACCGAGGAACATATTTGAATCTGAAAATTTGACATGAAGGATGCTAAACGTACGCTGTGGATACAAACACATTTCAATTGAGATTGCTTGGGTGTTTAATTGGACTTTTATATGGCTCTCTACATCCCTTAATTGATTACTATTTTAACACGTTGGTGCTGCGAGACTTTTAAATGGTGTCTGACCGGCTAATGTAAACAATCAGCGATAGGCGGGGCTTTTATTTTTGGCGGGGTTTGCTGCGATGCAGTGATGTTAAGGCTTTGTGTGTCTCTGAACGCACCACGAAAGGGAATGTTATTTTAGTTTTTATTCTTTTGATTTCTAATGTTCAAAGTGCTCAAGTGTTTTGAAGAGTTTTAGTTTTAGAGGATTTATTTTTCTCTGTGTATATTTCTGAATATCAGTATTTCGTCCTCAGACCCTCAGACGGCTCAGACTCACGTTATTATTATTATTTTAAAAGGAGATATAAAGTAATCTGCTTGTTTTTTTTCATGGAATTAATTTAAAAAATGTCGACATAATGGCGGATGTTTAAAAATACTGCATTTTGTGTTTAAAAATAGGATACAAAATGTTTGAAGGCTGAAAAACTGCCAAGAAAATGATAAGAAAATGTCAGTTTTAGTTGAAAAAGGCAGAATAAACTTCTTAATCCCACCTGCAGTATCACACCTGGGAAATATCTTCAGTACAAAATATCAATAATATTAACAGGAAATAAGAACTACATATCCCAGCAGTCATTGGGAGCCTCCAGAGCGTCTTCATACTATGGTATCAATCAATCAATCCAATGAATGAGACATGACCATATATCTCTTCATAACTAAAAGCCACAAAATGAACTGCATTTCATTTAAAATAAATAAAGAAACGTTTATTTTAAAGTGAGAATAAAAACAGACTTAACTGAACGTGGATTCGGCCAATCAGAGCCTCTGCTTGCTCAGATTAAAGAATCAAAATGATGAAGAAAGACCAGACCAGCCAATCACTGTAACACAGGGTGAGCGATTGAGATCAGATCCAAAATGTAATGGTTTCTTCATGGATCCATGCTTCACCAATTCACCAAATGATATGGAAATAGGGACAGTAGTTTTTGCTTAATCCCTCTTACAAACAAACCTAATTGGCGCCCTAGTTGGTAAAGTTCATTGAAGAGTGTAAAAACGGACTGTCCACGGTAGTTAAAGCCAATTTTAATGGACATACAGTTTTATATTGTGATTAATATGTCACATTATTATTATCCTTTGAATTATCTACAACTATATTCAGTTGTGTGGTGATTTCAATAATTTATAAGTTAGAAATTACCCACTTATCTACAGTCAGACACACATGAAGGGACGGTGAAATAAATACTGATTGCACCTTTAAAAAATGATCTACTAATTGGAAATTAATCTAGACTTTTTGGACTTTAGTTTGACGGAAAACCTCAGTTTTCAGTGTCACATGTAATTAGTTAAAAAGTTAATTAACAGCTAATTAAATAACACTAATTAATGATGAAATGAATCCTTATTTGCGTGTTGATTGGCCGGTCTGGTGGATTCAAACTGACGACATACAGAGATTATTACTGGTGATTAAAACTAGTGAGATGATATGATAGAGGCCACTGAAATTACACTAATTAAACTAACCGCAGTATTTTATTTAACGCAAATCAAACTGACATTTTAGAGAGTTTTATATTTTTAAAGTTATATAATCATTGTTTTTTTTTTAATTGTCTGAAGCCTGGTGGGTCAGAGGGGGGGGGGGGGGAATAATTAATAAAAAATATCTGCAGCCGTTGAATGCGAAAAAACACAACTTGAAGAAATGAAAATGTACATTACCAAAATCTGAAGTTTCATTGTCATGTTGTCTTTGTCTTCTGCCAAAAACATCCTTGTTGTGACAGAATCGCTGATCTAATCTGCCCGGAGACAGAAGAGAGGGGATATATTTAAAACACTTAGAAATACTTCAACATACCATCATTAAAATGTGTTTTTTTAAATAAAAAATTCATGGTAAATACAAGTGTTTTAAGACTTTAGGGGGGCTTTTTAAAAATGTATTCACGGCGCTTTCTCACCGGAGTACTTTTCCCAGGAATAGTTCCGATAGTTCCTGGGATTTTGCGTTTAAACCAAAAAGATCTGGAACTAGAACTTTTTTTCGGGAATTGGAACCTTTTCAGAGCAGGGACTATCGGGGGTGAAAAGGTTCCAATTTTGCAAACCACGCCCCGTAAAACTCAGAAAGGTTTTGTGAAGCCGCCATTTTATTTGCTTGCATTAGCATTATTAGCATTAGCCCAGCGCACCAACGGAGAGAGACTAACTTATGGCAACTAGGGTGACCAGATATCCCGCTTTGCGCGGGACTACACAGCATTTTCAGGACTTTTGGTGCGTCCCGCAAATTGAGACGATGTCCCGCATATTTCATTTTGATTGGCTAAAACACTTTTCGAAAATCTAATTCATGACAAATCTGATGCGGAGAAAGGCCGGCTCGGTTCGCTGATGGCCGTCACCGCCCTGTATTATTATATGTTTTAAACGGCATCATGTAAGAGCGTCCGTAGTGTCACTCCCCCGCTGACAGTTCTTCACGAGCGTCCATAGTTAGTGTCTCTCCACGATCTCTTGACGATGATGGGAAGTCGTAAATTCTACCAATTCTGCCCAAAAACGTTGGCTTTAATATTTGGTTACCTTATTCTAAAAAAAAAAAAAAAGAGAAAGTTTAGAAAATCTGTCTCCAGCTTTTTATCATTGATTCTGTCCAACAAACTCACCGCTGGTTTCCATCTGAGAGCGTCTGTTTCCCTCCTCTACTCTCAGCTTTTTAACGAAATTAAACGTTTTATTTCTGCTTCATTTTTACTGTAGATACATATTGTTTTATAGGGTCACTTTTTGAAAAATATTGTCATTGATTTTATAGCCAAAAACATTGCCAAAGTGTTTTTTAACCTCCAAAATAAAGACAATAAGGAAGCTCAAAAGGGACGAAAAGGATTTGTTTCTGTTCGGTTTCTTATCAGACTTTCTGAAATACAAAACATATTTGATCGTGATTATAAATAACGTTCTTACCTTCAAGTTTTTCGGGAAACTGAGGTCGGATCAGATGAGCCAGCAGGGGGCGCCGTCATCGGGTTTGGGCTCGAAACCTTAAAATACACATTTTCTTTTAACGAAAACATCACAAAATTCATCGGAAATTAACAAAATTATTGACATCCGATGTTCCTGTTGAGCCCAATGAAGTTGACGAAAAATAACATAATGATAAAATTAAAAACGTTTTGCCAAAAGTTGCTAACATTATAGTTGGTGTATACAACCCCCAATGCATTATGGGAAGTGTAGTCCAATTAGTTTGGTTATTTACTTCTTCAATCGGACAAACAATAACACTTTTTTTTTACGCTATGAAGAAAATGTTTTTTATTTTGAATAAATTACATGTATGGACAAAATAAACCAATATATCAAATGTATTTTTTAAGTAATACAAAAAGAAGTTATCCCACAATTTAGCAGATTCTAAGAGGAAGAATTTTACGATTTTACATTTTTTTACTAATTTCTTCAAAAAAGATGATTTTTTTTATGATTCTATCCCATTTATTTTTATACTAGCTTCCAAAACAAACATTCAATCTGCTCTCACGTTGGTGCTGAAGATGATTTTGTTATGTTTTTGTGTTTCCAGCCCAAATTCATCCGTCCCGCCGTCCACCATTTCCTCTGTACCTGTGTGTCTGTGTGACTTCCTGTAACGCTCCAGTCTTCCATACAAGCATAACTGTAGACTAGAGACAATCAATTACAAGGTGATTAAAAAGTAGCTTCATTAATTACTAGATGTGTACTAATGACACTCGGGGCTCCACGTTAACGAGTCTCCAGTCAAAAGAAAAAAGATGCAGACTTGTGGAGGATGAGAGTTAACGTTGAGCCCAGAGGACGTCACCTGTTTCATTGACCTTTGACCCCTGCGAGGGTCTCATGCTGTAAGCCACTGTGATCACTGTGCTCATTAAACACTGACTTTAACAAAGGCAATAAAACTAACGTCATGACAAACAGATCACCTGTCTCTGCGGTTTATTTTGGTCATTATGGTTTGAAACCATTACTATATTTTAATTATTCCTCTTTTTTTTTTTAAATATATATGTTTTAAAGAGTCCTCTCCTGCTGATGTTCAGGTGTATATCAGTATGTAGTGTCTCTACTTTAAAGAGTCCTCTCCTGCTGATGTTCAGGTGTATATCAGTATGTAGTGTCTCTACTTTAAAGAGTCCTCTCCTGCTGATGTTCAGGTGTATATCAGTATGTAGTGTCTCTACTTTAAAGAGTCCTCTCCTGCTGATGTTCAGGTGTATATCAGTATGTAGTGTCTCTACTTTAAAGAGTCCTCTCCTGCTGATGTTCAGGTGTATATCAGTATGTAGTGTCTCTACTTTAAAGAGTCCTCTCCTGCTGATGTTCAGGTGTATATCAGTATGTAGTGTCTCTACTTTAAAGAGTCCTCTCCTGCTGATGTTCAGGTGTATATCAGTATGTAATGTCTCTACTTTAAAGAGTCCTCTCCTGCTGATGTTCAGGTGTATATCAGTATGTAGTGTCTCTACTTTAAAGAGTCCTCTCCTGCTGATGTTCAGGTGTATATCAGTATGTAGTGTCTCTACTTTAAAGAGTCCTCTCCTGCTGATGTTCAGGTGCATATCAGTATGTAGTGTCTCTACTTTAAAGAGTCCTCTCCTGCTGATGTTCAGGTGTATATCAGTATGTAGTGTCTCTACTTTAAAGAGTCCTCTCCTGCTGATGTTCAGGTGTATATCAGTATGTAGTGTCTCTACTTTAAAGAGTCCTCTCCTGCTGATGTTCAGGTGTATATCAGTATGTAGTGTCTCTACTTTAAAGAGTCCTCTCCTGCTGATGTTCAGGTGTATATCAGTATGTAGTGTCTCTACTTTAAAGAGTCCTCTCCTGCTGATGTTCAGGTGTATATCAGTATGTAGTGTCTCTACTTTAAAGAGTCCTCTCCTGCTGATGTTCAGGTGCATATCAGTATGTAGTGTCTCTACTTTAAAGGGTCCTGTCCTGCTGATGTTCAGGTGTATATCAGTATGTAGTGTCTCTACTTTAAAGAGTCCTCTCCTGCTGATGTTCAGGTGTATATCCGTATGTAGTGTCTCTACTTTAAAGAGTCCTCTCCTGCTGATGTTCAGGTGTATATCAGTATGTAGTGTCTCTACTTTAAAGAGTCCTCTCCTGCTGATGTTCAGGTGTATATCAGTATGTAGTGTCTCTACTTTAAAGAGTCCTCTCCTGCTGATGTTCAGGTGTATATCAGTATGTAGTGTCTCTACTTTCAAGAGTCCTCTCCTGCTGATGTTCAGGTGTATATCAGTATGTAGTGTCTCTACTTTAAAGAGTCCTCTCCTGCTGTTGTTCAGGTGTATATCAGTATGTAGTGTCTCTACTTTAAAGAGTCTTCTCCTGCTGATGTTCAGGTGTATATCAGTATGTAGTGTCTCTACTTTAAAGAGTCCTCTCCTGCTGATGTTCAGGTGTATATCAGTATGTAGTGTCTCTACTTTAAAGAGTCCTCTCCTGCTGATGTTCAGGTGTATATCAGTATGTAGTGTCTCTACTTTAAAGAGTCATCTCCTGCTGATGTTCAGGTGTATATCAGTATGTAGTGTCTCTACTTTAAAGAGTCCTCTCCTGCTGATGTTCAGGTGTATATCAGTATGTAGTGTCTCTACTTTAAAGAGTCCTCTCCTGCTGATGTTCAGGTGTATATCAGTATGTAGTGTCTCTACTTTAAAGAGTCCTCTCCTGCTGATGTTCAGGTGTATATCAGTATGTAGTGTCTCTACTTTAAAGAGTCCTCTCCTGCTGATGTTCAGGTGTATATCAGTATGTAGTGTCTCTACTTTAAAGAGTCCTCTCCTGCTGATGTTCAGGTGCATATCAGTATGTAGTGTCTCTACTTTAAAGAGTCCTCTCCTGCTGATGTTCAGGTGTATATCAGTATGTAGTGTCTCTACTTTAAAGAGTCCTCTCCTGCTGATGTTCAGGTGTATATCAGTATGTAGTGTCTCTACTTTAAAGAGTCCTCTCCTGCTGATGTTCAGGTGTATATCAGTATGTAGTATCTCTACTTTAAAGAGTCCTCTCCTGCTGATGTTCAGGTGTATATCAGTATGTAGTGTCTCTACTTTAAAGAGTCCTCTCCTGCTGATGTTCAGGTGTATATCAGTATGTAATGTCTCTACTTTAAAGAGTCCTCTCCTGCTGATGTTCAGGTGTATATCAGTATGTAGTGTCTCTACTTTAAAGAGTCCTCTCCTGCTGATGTTCAGGTGTATATCAGTATGTAGTGTCTCTACTTTAAAGAGTCCTCTCCTGCTGATGTTCAGGTGCATATCAGTATGTAGTGTCTCTACTTTAAAGAGTCCTCTCCTGCTGATGTTCAGGTGTATATCAGTATGTAGTGTCTCTACTTTAAAGAGTCCTCTCCTGCTGATGTTCAGGTGTATATCAGTATGTAGTGTCTCTACTTTAAAGAGTCCTCTCCTGCTGATGTTCAGGTGTATATCAGTATGTAGTGTCTCTACTTTAAAGAGTCCTCTCCTGCTGATGTTCAGGTGTATATCAGTATGTAGTGTCTCTACTTTAAAGAGTCCTCTCCTGCTGATGTTCAGGTGCATATCAGTATGTAGTGTCCTCTACTTTAAAGAGTCCTCTCCTGCTGATGTTCAGGTGTATATCAGTATGTAGTGTCTCTACTTTAAAGAGTCCTCTCCTGCTGATGTTCAGGTGTATATCAGTATGTAGTGTCTCTACTTTAAAGAGTCCTCTCCTGCTGATGTTCAGGTGTATATCAGTATGTAGTATCTCTACTTTAAAGAGTCCTCTCCTGCTGATGTTCAGGTGTATATCAGTATGTAGTGTCTCTACTTTAAAGAGTCCTCTCCTGCTGATGTTCAGGTGTATATCAGTATGTAATGTCTCTACTTTAAAGAGTCCTCTCCTGCTGATGTTCAGGTGTATACCAGTATGTAGTGTCTCTACTTTAAAGAGTCCTCTCCTGCTGATGTTCAGGTGTATATCAGTATGTAGTGTCTCTACTTTAAAGAGTCCTCTCCTGCTGATGTTCAGGTGCATATCAGTATGTAGTGTCTCTACTTTAAAGAGTCCTCTCCTGCTGATGTTCAGGTGTATATCAGTATGTAGTGTCTCTACTTTAAAGAGTCCTCTCCTGCTGATGTTCAGGTGTATATCAGTATGTAGTGTCTCTACTTTAAAGAGTCCTCTCCTGCTGATGTTCAGGTGTATATCAGTATGTAGTGTCTCTACTTTAAAGAGTCCTCTCCTGCTGATGTTCAGGTGTATATCAGTATGTAGTGTCTCTACTTTAAAGAGTCCTCTCCTGCTGATGTTCAGGTGTATATCAGTATGTAGTGTCTCTACTTTAAAGAGTCCTCTCCTGCTGATGTTCAGGTGCATATCAGTATGTAGTGTCTCTACTTTAAAGGGTCCTGTCCTGCTGATGTTCAGGTGTATATCAGTATGTAGTGTCTCTACTTTAAAGAGTCCTCTCCTGCTGATGTTCAGGTGTATATCCGTATGTAGTGTCTCTACTTTAAAGAGTCCTCTCCTGCTGATGTCCAGGTGTATATCAGTATGTAGTGTCTCTACTTTAAAGAGTCCTCTCCTGCTGATGTTCAGGTGTATATCAGTATGTAGTGTCTCTACTTTAAAGAGTCCTCTCCTGCTGATGTTCAGGTGTATATCAGTATGTAGTGTCTCTACTTTCAAGAGTCCTCTCCTGCTGATGTTCAGGTGTATATCAGTATGTAGTGTCTCTACTTTAAAGAGTCCTCTCCTGCTGTTGTTCAGGTGTATATCAGTATGTAGTGTCTCTACTTTAAAGAGTCCTCTCCTGCTGATGTTCAGGTGTATATCAGTATGTAGTGTCTCTACTTTAAAGAGTCCTCTCCTGCTGATGTTCAGGTGTATATCAGTATGTAGTGTCTCTACTTTAAAGAGTCCTCTCCTGCTGATGTTCAGGTGTATATCAGTATGTAGTGTCTCTACTTTAAAGAGTCCTCTCCTGCTGATGTTCAGGTGTATATCAGTATGTAGTGTCTCTACTTTAAAGAGTCCTCTCCTGCTGATGTTCAGGTGTATATCAGTATGTAGTGTCTCTACTTTAAAGAGTCCTCTCCTGCTGATGTTCAGGTGTATATCAGTATGTAGTGTCTCTACTTTAAAGAGTCCTCTCCTGCTGATGTTCAGGTGCATATCAGTATGTAGTGTCTCTACTTTAAAGGGTCCTGTCCTGCTGATGTTCAGGTGTATATCAGTATGTAGTGTCTCTACTTTAAAGAGTCCTCTCCTGCTGATGTTCAGGTGTATATCCGTATGTAGTGTCTCTACTTTAAAGAGTCCTCTCCTGCTGATGTTCAGGTGTATATCAGTATGTAGTGTCTCTACTTTAAAGAGTCCTCTCCTGCTGATGTTCAGGTGTATATCAGTATGTAGTGTCTCTACTTTAAAGAGTCCTCTCCTGCTGATGTTCAGGTGTATATCAGTATGTAGTGTCTCTACTTTCAAGAGTCCTCTCCTGCTGATGTTCAGGTGTATATCAGTATGTAGTGTCTCTACTTTAAAGAGTCCTCTCCTGCTGTTGTTCAGGTGTATATCAGTATGTAGTGTCTCTACTTTAAAGAGTCCTCTCCTGCTGATGTTCAGGTGTATATCAGTATGTAGTGTCTCTACTTTAAAGAGTCCTTTCCTGCTGATGTTCAGGTGTATATCAGTATGTAGTGTCTCTACTTTAAAGAGTCCTCTCCTGCTGATGTTCAGGTGCATATCAGTATGTAGTGTCTCTACTTTAAAGAGTCCTCTCCTGCTGATGTTCAGGTGTATATCAGTATGTAGTGTCTCTACTTTAAAGAGTCCTCTCCTGCTGATGTTCAGGTGCATATCAGTATGTAGTGTCTCTACTTTAAAGAGTCCTCTCCTGCTGATGTTCAGGTGTATATCAGTATGTAGTGTCTCTCCTTTAAAG